GGGCCGTTAAACCCATGGTCACGGGACCTCCTTTTGGACGTTTTGCATATGCTGCTTGCCGAGTCTGAAACAAAAAATGTTATAAATCGTTATTTTGCCCTATTTTCCACGGGCAAAATAATTTGCGGTCACATTAAGCAGTATAAATTGTCAGTGCGACAACAATCCCTATGCCCTAAATGCAGTATATACTGCCATTTCTTTTTCTCCCCTCCCCCATTTGTTACAAGCTACTAAACAGTCGGGTTTTTTTTTTTGGGGGGGGGTTGGGGGGGGGGGGTTATCATTAGCATTAGCAAGTATCACATGCGCTCTGCTTTGGAAATAAGTTTTCATACCTAGCAAGTACTATTTTGAAGTAAATTTGACAAAAAGTGGGCAATACAAATAGTAAATTATTATTCCTAACTAAACTTGTGCTAGTCTATATTTTTTTTATTTAACGATCTCTATATTTTAATTTATTTTTTTTATTTACATATAACATACAAAATTTAACAGTAAATTTGCAACAACATATAATAATATATTTTCCGTTACAGTTTTCACCGATTACATTATTATAATGGTTCCAAGCTGCTCGTTTTTCCAGTATATTTTATTTTTTATTTTACAATTGGTATATGATTATAACTTGTTTTTTATTTTAGAATAGGTATATTCTGTATAAAATATCGATTCGTAAAGGAAAGCTAAACAGCGCAACCTATCGTTCACCAGTGAAGAAAATAAACCATGTACGTATAGTTTAACATTGCTACAAATTAGAAACCTGAAACCCATCAAATTTTAAATACATTTTATAATGAAGAATCTGATGTAATAAATTGCCATATATGAGAACCAAAACTCCCTCCCCCAAATCCTCACCGCTAAGGAAAATAGACGATTCATCGGAAAATGTAACCCCAGGAAAGATTAAAATCAGCCAAAATCGAACGCAAATGGTTTCTCCGAAGGCGGTTTCCCGGGTTTATTTGCAGTACAATAACTTTTCAATCAATTTTTATCCCCAGATTAGTGGCAAATTCTCCATTCTTCCATACATGATCACTAGTATACGATGATTTTGTTTGAGTATTTAGCAAAGTGATCAATAAATCAAGTTTTCATTTTCTCATTAAAGCCTTCAGTGTTTATCTGCTTGAGTTGGAACTCCATAAGAATTTCCCACATACCTCTTGACGATGTCTTCGTTTCCTGAGTTGAAAGAAAACTACCATGGCAACGAAAAGAAGTACCACGATCACGATGACAACAACAACAACAACAACAACAATAACCACCGTAGCTGGGAAAATAATTTCAAATCATTAAAATTAATCCAAAATATTATTTAATTAAAAGTTTCACTGCTTTTAATTCGCAAACAGTCAATTGTGAAATGGTCATCCACTCATTGGGTGACAAAGAGTTTTTACATAAAAGCGAAAGTACGAATGCTCACTGAATCTTGGAAGCTAGTTAGAAAAAAGATATTTGCAAAAGCCAAATCATTAAAGAATATGGCGACGCGCTTATATGGTCGAAAGACGAAATTGGTTATATCATCTTGTTTCGGGTCCAATAGGGTTAGTGTTGTGATTGGCGTCATGATAAAAAAGAAATATTTCCATACCCAAAATATGAGAGTATTAGCACCAAAAAGTGCCGTTTCCTTTAAAGGTTAATATACGCATAGCAGGGATATTGGAATGTATACGAAATGTTGTGATGTGGGACACTCGTCTTTAGACTCGTCCCATTCACTTCTGGTCTCTTAATCAACCTAAACTGTTCTTTTTTGTAAAGAGGAAAATAGGGAACTTATGATGTTCGTAATCTAATACGCAGACTGTTTTCCAACAGTTACTTATGCTCCACTTTTGAATTTGCTTCCAGTTTAAAGATGTTTTCACGTGATCTGTCTTTGTTGACAAAACAATTACCCCTATTGCTGACACTGTGAATTTAGAATGTGTTTTTATTAATGTTCTCGTACTGAATTTGTCATATTTTAAACTCTCTATAAATTTATTGCAGAAAGTTTGTAATCTAATCTTTCTACAAGAAAACAATGACCCTTGTATCTTTTCCGATTTATCTCTTCCGCTTGTGTCATGCATACATGCAATTGACCAGTCCAACATAATTTTCTTAAATTTAGGCAACCTCGTACCCAGGGTATTTGCTCTTGGGGAGCAAAATACCCTGGTATGGCCTGGTCACGTGACCCGCGGATTTTGCGTAAAATGGCGTATTGTTTACTAGGGCCGGGGGAGTGAGTATACATTGTCACTCCTAGTAATTATATCACGCTTTTAAATTTTAATTACTATAGGAGTGACAATGTGTACACACTCCCCCGACCCTTGAAAACAATACGCCATTTTACGCAAAATCCGCGGGTCATATGACCAGGCCATACCAGGGTATTTCGCTCCCCAAGAGCAAATACCCTAGGTACGAGGTTGAAAATTTGGTTTTTAAACATCCAGAACACTTACTTGAACCATCAGATTTTTCCGTTGTGACTTGTGTTTTAAGTTTATCCCCGTCACCATCATCGTTATAAGCATGAACTGTAATCTCGTAAATTGTATCACTCCCGAGACCAATTAATACCATATTTAACATCCCCGATGTCGCCGAAATATTCTGATTCTTGTAATGTGTCTCCACGCCGGTCTTGTGACCAACCATGTACCCATTTATGACGAATGCGCTGTGGCCTTTTGCTTTCACCCAACTGATGTCAATACTGTTATCTGTTTTACCAGTCTCTTTAAGTCCAGCCGGAGGCGGAGGAGGTCCTGAAACAGTTTGATATAAAAAATTCTTAATTTACCTCATTATAATGACGGCAGTGAACATTATAATGGCTAGTAAAGTATCTGTTATGGCTATAGTTAAAGAAATCATGAGCCTCAATATATTTGCTCAATATTCCTAGACTTAAATCAGTTAAGACTAAACAAGTGTTACCTAATATCTTGTCTCTTAATGCGAGATCTATTTTAACAAAAACTGACGAACTGGCTCTTGTTATTCACAATCAAAAATCAGACATAGTAATGGTGTCCGAAACTTGGCTTTCCGATGTTATCCCAGACGAAGCACTACATTTTCCGGGCATACCAGGCTTCAGTGTAATAAGGAATGACAGGGTTAATATGAGAGGTGGTGGTGTGGCTGTCTTAAATCTCTCATCATCGAAAGCGAGAGGAAGACAATGAAAGGATATTCTTCTAGCCAAGCTTCATCAGCAATCGGTTCATCCAAGGAAGCCTCTTGTTCGTCTGAATTGCCATCCACATGGCCGCCATGACTGGCTTCAAAATATTCGGTTTTAACGCGCTCAAATTCAATTTCACACGGACTACTAACAGACGAATTGCTAAAGATACTCGAGTGTGAATTTGAGCTCGACATTTCAGGTTTTTCACAAAAATATAGTCGATTCATTTTTACTTGCCCACCCAAATTGTAATACAATTTCCTATTGTGAAAATACAACGTGTTCGGTGTTCGTCCGACCCAGTCTCTTCTGTGCCCTACTTTTTTTTCAAAATTGGTACTTTGAGCCGTTGTATCTCAGAAAATAGAAGTTTAAATCAAAATCTAATCTAGAACTTCTATTGGAGCTTTATACGCTCTATCCGAATCATCAAAAACCCATTTTGGGTTTATAGACACTTTAATTGTACTGCAGTACAATTAATGAAATAATTGTACTCCTCTCAACCAATCAGCATCCAGTAATTTTGTCATGCTAATAATAAATTAATTAATTGCTAGTTTCTTATTGCCTCAATATTTTCCCTTAGGGGATAACTTTATACTTCAAAAACTGTGTAGTTTAGATGATTTAGTAGATGGAACTATGTTGGAAGATTTTTGTGTAATCATTTTCAAGCATTCGTCCCGGATTCGAGGACAGCAGAGGCAACTGGTCCCGTCGTGGATTTGGATGTTTCTTATGGCGATGTAGGAAGGTCAAAGAAAGAACATGAAGTTTCTGCATGTCCGGTAGGTCGAGCTTCATTCATTGCACATTTAAGAATACTAAATACAGAAGAACATTCCTGACCTAATACTAAACAAAGTGCAAATTTACTAGATGCAAAGCTAGAAAAAGGTTTGATTAAGAAAAGACAGAACGTACAATGGCATAAAATACGAACTGGAGATATACTGATGGCCAATTATACGCTGCGCCACAAATCTGTTACGGCACGCCAGAAGCTCAACTGACAAGGTTCAGTAAGCTTTTCTGTCGTGGCTTTGTTATATTCAGGAAAGGAAAAGCCTGTTTTCAATACCAATTTCTTTGTTTTGGAAGCTCTTGAGAATTTATTGGAGATCCTTAAGATTGACGTTTGCGTTAGACCGTAAACCGCAAATTCCAAATCGTATTTGAATATAAATTCTAGAAATTTCGACAGCTATGAGAGGTAGTTCGTCCTTTAACTATTCACAAATTGTGCTGACCTCTAACAGCTAACAGTTGACCTCAAACTTTGCCGTTTCCGGTTAGCGGTCTGTTGTCAAAGTCACGCCTAAAGTCTGTTCTTGCTAAAATAATACAAAAAAGAAAAACCATGCATCCACCACGACGGGTATATTGAACAGAGGAAGGACTTGGAAGTCGTACCGTAACATCGTTAATTATATAATTACTATATAATTATCATACTATTCCATGATAATTAGAATATATTTTATCTGTTCTAAACTTGTTGTAAAACAGTTAAGGTAATATATTGTTGTATTTCCATCTAATGTTAATGTCCAGGTGTCACGTGAGGAAGCAACGTTGATGTCTTATGTAATTATACGAAATTAGCACTTGAAATGAACTTGAAGAGTATTGCGCGATATATTATTTAATTTTTAGGGCCCAGGAACAACGGACGCGATTCGGCAACGTGACGCAATTTTTCATTTTTTGAAAGTAATAAAACATTCGACGGAAAGAAATTTTAAAAGATATGTGGGCCAAATAACACAAAATGTTAGAAAACTTTAAACCTGAATCTAAAACCTGCATGGATCCAACAAGAATGAGAATGCATCACTAAACTGTGCTTAGCTGTTATTAATGCTTTCCTAACACTTCCATTTCCATTATATTTAAGATACGACGTAGTCGGAAAACTCATCAAACCTAGATTTTTTAATTTAGTGCTTGAAATTACAATGTCCCTGTAATAATTCATGATTGAAAGCACTCTCAGAACATCGCGCCATGGAATTCGGAATCGCATTCGGGACCTGGGCCCTTGGTAGCGGTTGTCATGGTAAAGTCGTTTTCTCGTCGAATGTGAACTAGCCTGCATCATTGAGTGAAGATTTACTGATTGAAGAAATATATGCACAAATTGATATTATCACAACTTTCAAATGATAAACACGGACAGTCAGTTGGAAACTATTTGTTTACTATATGCTATTTAATTTTTAGTAAATATTTTGTTGGTTGGAGTCAGTTACTTAGTTACATCTTAAAATATGAATTTCTGCATGCAAAAAGCTAGAACCGTTTGTGCGTAGCCATTGTAATAATATTGAAATGTCTGTGCCAGTGTAAATAGTAATGATAATCACAAAGCTACGGATTGATGAAACTATCTGAAAAATACAAGAAGGACTCAACATATACCAAATAAGGGTATAAATTTCTGACGAAAGGCCTTCGCTTGAAACGTCGATGTTCTCCTTGAAATTTCAGGTAGTGGCATTTATAAAGGCCCATTTTCACTCAAGAAAATTTTTCACGGTCAGAAAATTTTCTGAAAATATCATTTTTAAAAGTTGAAAATTTTCAAATTGTGTCTTCCAAATCACATTTTACAAAATTTTCTTTCTGCGAAAAATTTTCCTGAGTGGAGATCGGAAGAGTCCGAAGCTTTCTGGTGATGAGAAATCATAGAATCATATGATAGATAGAGTTTATCTACCATGCATGTATAACGAGGTAATAATATCAAGGTTTTGCAGAGGTCTTGGCCTCTTCACACTCTCCTCCGCAGAGTCTGAAATATATAGGATTTGTAGGGATAGTAGAGGATATTTAGTGGTGCGCGACGGGGGGGTGAGATCGATGGTTGACAAAATGTAATCAAGACTCTGCCATATAATGCGCGGTTCTCGGGTATATTCTGCGGTTCTCGGGTATGGCTGAAATAGAGCAAGAAAGCGACTCAGAAAGCAGCGATCTGGACATCTTAGAAGTTTCTCTTCACAATTTGAGTGTCGAGGGTAAGTTGAATGAATTTTATACAATATTTATGTCTCATTTGACGGAATGTTTTACATATTTGTAGACGCCATAGTATCACGGGCTTTGTTATTGTTTTTATCTCTCCAAAAATCAACAAATAACGTTTAAAATACCTTGTTTGGTACATTGCCAGTAAGAATTATATAAAAGCAGCAAGGATTCACCAAGGATGTTTTAAATATACGACGGATTACAAAAAAACGTTTGGTTGTAGTCGGCTTACAAAATGGCCGCCAGTCTACAGACCTGCCAAGTCACGATTTTTGATGCTTTCTCACGATTAAGTCCCGAAATCTCTCGATTTTCGGCAAAATCTCTGCTAAAACCATAAGTGATTCCAAACACCCGTGGAAAAAAGAAATATGCTATTATTTCGTGAGACTTGGCACTGGAAGCTACTGAAGCCATAAGAAAAAACAGCCTTGCATTACAGTTATATTAACAAAATATAAATGCATACTATCCCAAGATTGATTATCTATTGATTATTTTCTAGTGTTGTCAAAGTTAACCCTGTCCCTGGTCATATTATTAATGAGCAAACCTGAAAATTTCAGTCGATTTTCAGTTTCAGACTTTTTAGATAGCAACTCACTATTTCTGCTATTCAAGGGTTGGCAGGTCTGATTTAGATTGAAGATTCTAAGCAGTGTATCTATATTAAATACTTTATATCTAGATGAAGAAGATGAAGGATGTTATCCGATGCCAATGGCAAGTACGCCCAAAAAGGGTGACAAAAATGAGCATGCTGTGAAGCATGCTCTTACACCAGTGTCCAAACGACAAAGTGAAAGTGATCCAAAAAGGCTCCACACATCAACAGTTGATATAGTCACAGGTACGTTTTTAGTTAATACTTATTTTCAGCCATTCTGAACGAACATACGTTTGTAGTGACATGTCTAATCTGGATGTAAAATGTCTACAATCTGCACACAGTGGCGGAAATTCACTTTTTCTGGGGGGGGGGGG